TCTTCGTTCTCCTGTCTCCCAACTCCCAAGTGCTGGAATTACTGGCGTGCACCACCACACCCCTTTTCTGCCTCAGTGGGGATCCAACCCAAAGCTTTATATTTGCTAGATGAATACTCCACTCACTGAGCCACACCCCATACTTCATTTTCCTGTTTTGTTTGTTTGTTTGTTTGTTTTTGATAATTTTGGTGCCTAAAATGTCCCAGAGCATAGCGCTGAGGTGCCATCTAGTCTCCAGAGCACCAGAAGATGCTCCCCAGGAGAGAAGGTGTGTGGGAGATACGCTTCAGCCAGTCAGGAGCCACAATCAGCCTGGGTGAGTGTTCAGCCCTCATTTAGTCTCCAAGCTGAGATTCTCAGCACCATAAGGAGGTGTCCAGGAGGACACAGAGTTGGAGGCCAACCTGGGCTGTATCTAAAGACCCTATTCATACAAAAGCAAACGGAGGAACTGAAGAGTAACTGGAGAATCAAATCAAGGATGCGAAACCCACACACAGGGATGAAGAACTTGCATGCAGGGGTGTGGGCTTCAGCTGTAAGACGGGGGCAGAGAGTGGCAGAGGAGGAGGAAGGAAGAGGGAAGAGAGGAGGGAGAGAGAATGCAGTCGTCAACCCTTAGAAGCCCTCTTCTGAAGAGTTGGCTCTGGAGAATTCTGAAAGAATTTAAAGAGAGCAGGGCTAGCGTCTCATCCCCACACAAGGTGGGGGGAGGGGTGAAAGGTTCAAGTGCAGGGGTTTCTCCTGAGAAGATGCTGGAATTCTTGCTTTGGGAGAAGGGAAACCTCTAGGTTTTTAGAACTACATCGGAGGCAGTCTTTGAGAGACCCGGACCTAGCCAATGGCTACACAGCCCACAGCTCCTCCCACACACACACCCCTCCTGGCCGACAGGACACGCCTGGGCTGCTCAACAGCCTCTGCCCCAAGAATGAGCTTTCCCAGAAACCTTTCCCTGATTCTGACATGAATTCTGATGCTTGCTGAACCCCAACTGCTGGCTTCCAGGATCGGTACTAGAGAGCCCTAAGGAGTCTCTGCTCAGGTAAAGGACTTGGCACACCTAACAGGGACGAGTTCTCTGGAGAAGGCTGGAGGGTGGTGGCCTGGATGCATGGGGCATCCTGTGTCCTGATGAAGGGAAGCACTTCTCCCTGTATTCTGAGCTCTTCCTCCTCTCCCCAACTGGCAAAGGTGACAGAACTGGGGACCTGGAGCTGAAGGAAAGGGGCCGAGCAGGGCGGAGCTCCGCTGCAGACTGAGCAGCAACTTCGGGGCCCGCAGAGCCCTGGGGTTAGGGCTGGGCCTCTCTGGGTGTTCCTAAGGACGCTGCCAGCTCCACCCACCTGAGACGGCACTGTGCAGAGAAGTCAGTGACTCAAAGCCAGGCCACCACGTGGCTAAGTGGGGAGTGATACGGCCAGATGGGGTGAGGAGTAGCGACAACCCCAGCCGCTCTCACCCAAGATCCACCAGAAAGAGAAGGGAGACGCACGGGAGAGTAGGCAGCTCACTAAAACTTGAGGAAAGGGCTCCAAGTCAAAACTGGACAGTTTGCAGAGTGGACTCTGGAGCCAGCCAGCCTAGGTCTGTGTTGCAACTCTGTTACTTACTAGCTCTCTGACCTCCGCTAGGTGAGAAAAATACATACCTCTTGCTATAAGGGAATAATACTGGTTTTCAAAAACTGCCTCTTTCTGCACGATGTGAGTTGCCCCTGCTTTGCAGCTGACCCTGCTGAGGTCAGTTCGACTGTGACTTTCCAGCAGCACATGGAAGTGTGCGGCTCTCTGAGGGCGTGCGCATTAGGGTGCACAGTGCCTGGGTCCCAGTGGATCCCCGTCATTCCCCCAGGAATCAGACAGAGAGGACTTCCTACTGGGAGAAGTAGGGACCCTTTCGCTCAAACGAAGATGAGTTAATCACTCACACCAAGTTCACCAGAAGAACCCACCAGAAAAGCATGTCTCACGCTGGTGTTTGAAAAAGCTGTCCAACAAAGATGATCAAAGCTGGGTCGAGATGAAAGGGGGTTCTGTGGTCAGAGGCGCTCTGGTAATGCTGCCTCCTTGAATCCTGCTTTGAGGGACTCACAAAGTGAATTAATTTATTAGCATGGGTGAGTAAAGTGACCTGCTTAATTTTGCTGAACCCAGCTACTTGCCAGGTTGTCTTGAACACAGAATTATTTTCTCTCACGACTCCTCTCACCTGCCTATGGACCAGGGGTTCCGTGAAACAACAGTTTGGGAAATGTTGGCCCACCTGCTTGTTCTGGGGAGCCTCTTGTATAAAGAGCACTGTAGCCCCTACTTTAATCTAAGCCTAATTACTAGTGTCTCCGCCTTCAGGTAAGCAGCACCTAATTGCCTGGACATTAACAGGGCAGAAAGCAGGTTCCCTTGGAAGGGGGAGGTCGGAGAGAGAATAGCCCAAGGCTCGGGGACTTGGGACAACTGGCTCCTGGCATCAGCACCCACCCACTTTTATGAGCAGGGCTGCTCTGACTTAACCACCTGTGCCTCCACGCCAGCTGTGCACTTAATAGTCATGTAACTTCATCAGCGCCTCTAACCCTCAGTTTCTCTCAGCTGTAAAGTGGGGGGTATAATACTGCCTAGTCCTGTGATGACACATTTCTGTGAGGTTCTCAAGCTGAGCATTCCCTGACGTGGGAAATTACATTCTTGTTCCCCTGCAGGAGCAGCCAGCCCTTGAGTCCAGCATGAACTGGAGCGTATTTGAGGGGCTCCTGAGTGGAGTCAACAAGTACTCCACAGCCTTTGGTCGCATCTGGCTGTCTCTGGTCTTCGTCTTCCGTGTGCTGGTGTACCTGGTGACGGCTGAGCGCGTGTGGGGCGACGACCAGAAGGATTTTGACTGCAACACCAGGCAGCCTGGCTGTACCAATGTCTGCTATGACGAGTTCTTCCCCGTGTCCCACGTGCGCCTCTGGGCCCTGCAGCTCATCCTGGTCACCTGTCCTTCCCTGCTTGTGGTCATGCATGTGGCCTATCGAAAGGCTCGAGAGAAGAAGTACCAGGAAAAAGTTGGCAAAGGCTTCCTTTACCCTAATCCCGGCAAGAAGCGGGGTGGACTCTGGTGGACATACGTCTTCAGCCTATCGTTCAAGGCCACCATAGATATTATCTTCCTCTACCTCTTCCACGCATTCTACCCCAGATACACCCTCCCTTCTATGGTCAAGTGTCATGCGGCACCATGTCCCAACACAGTGGACTGCTTCATCGCCAAGCCTTCGGAGAAGAACATCTTCATTGTCTTCATGGTGGTCACGGCCGTCATCTGCATCCTGCTTAACCTTGTGGAGCTGATCTACCTGGTATTTAAGCGGTGTTCTGAGTGTGCAGCACTGAGGAGGCCACCCGCTGCACATGCAAAGAATGACCCCAACTGGGCCAACCCTCCCAACAAAGAGGACTCAAGCAATCTCATCTTTCTGGGCTTGGACATTCACCCACCTCTGTTACCAGATCACCCTCGCGCCCACGTGAAGAAAACCATGCTGTGAAGGGTCCCTAGACTGGACTGGCAGGGTGGGCATGAACTGGAAGGTTCCAGAATCTCTCATGGATATAGCTGGTGGGGAAAAGAGCTGAGTTGGAGTTGGAGGCAGGCAAAAGGGAGGACTCCCACAGTTTGGGATCCAATTGTCCCTCCCGGCTGACTGGCCTTCACTAAATTACCTCTCTACTCTGTACCTCGGTTTCCTTTTCTGTTAAATAAACACACTGAGTGCCACTTAACAGGGCTCCTGGGAGGGGGAGTTTCACGAAGGCACAGATGAGCAGGTGCCTTCCTGTGTGGCCCAGGGTGAGAGCTTAATAAAGATGAACGCGTTCACAGATTCAAGGTGCCCTTTTGGTCTTGGCCTTTGTACCCTTCCTGGAGCCAAGGGGTTATCCTCTCCTCTAGAAAAGGGGTTTCCAGCTTTCCCAAAGTTAGCCCTTTGTCCCAGCTGGAAGTGTGGGCTGTGGATGTCTGCAGAGATGATGGAGTTTGGCAGAACTGTATGTCGCGATGGAAAACACCCAGACTCTGGAGTAAGTGAAACTTACTCAGGCAGCTTCAGCTGACTTGTTAATGCGTCGCCTGTGGGGGTCACTGTGAGCACTGGCAAGCACCTGGCAGTACCAGAGTTAGCCAGCCACAAAGGCCACGTACCTGTGAATCACTGCTATTAGGGAGTGCTCAGTAAACGCTTGTGTGGAATGAAGCAGAGGGGCCCCTCCTTGGGTGTACATTAACCATCACTGTACCTGCCGGACGCAAGTCCATCCCCCCTCTGTAGCCCCTGCTGGACCACACTCCAGCTTCCCCAGAGCCATTTCCAACAGAAGCCTAGGACCACAGAGCACACAACAAGGCTACATTCCTGGCCACATGCCAACAGCAGCCTTTCCAATCACCAGCCTGCATTCCTTGTCTCCAGCAGGGCAGTGGGTGCCCTGGTCTCAAAAAGCCAGGTGGCTTGTCTGGGTTCCAAAATGGACTAGCCTAAGATCCAGTCCCCATATATATAGCCCCAGCTGTGCAGCACAAGTCATAGGCTGATTCAAGGGTGTCCCTTTCCATAAAAACCAACTGTTAAGGATCTCAGAACCAGTTGCATGAGGACAGGGCAAAAGAGAGAGTTGGGAATGAGGGGACAGGAAGAGGGACACACATGACAACCTGAAAGCAACAGGAACAGGATCTGTGTCATTAGCACCATCCTGTACCTGGACATTTTGACCAAACTCCAGCCTCCATCTCTCTAGTCCCACCCACATACCTACCAACCTAGACAGGCTGGAGGAGTAAGGTGTGGGCCCCAGGAGATGAGCCACAGGTGTTTGCTCTGTCGTTGTGCCCAGGGAAGTCCTTCTGCCCAGCCAGCCTACCCACTCCAGCACTCTCTCTTGGCTCATTGGCTCCAAAAGCCCCACCCTACTGGTAAGTAAGGAACAAAAGCTGCCTCCGGGACGGCCTCAGGCAGACAGACAAGCCGGCACCGGAGAGAGAGGACCCACAGACAGGGCACAAGAAGGGTGAGGACAAAATACAGCTGGAGACAGCTGGGGGAAAGGTTCGGGGAGCGGGGAGAACCTAGGGCTGGGGACTTAGCTTCAAAAAGGGGACCAGGGGAGGGCAGGATCCCTGAAGGAACCCTAGAAAAACCCCACAGAGGGGAGGAAATGTGCTGTACTAAAGGGAGGCCAGAGGACCAGAGAAGAATCTAGAAGAGACTGGGAAAAAGTAAGCCACAGCTCAGTTTAGGCAGGATCCATTGAGAGTGCTCTGGGCCTGACAGAAAGCTTTGTCCCAGGAGACAGAGGCGTCTAGTTTGGCTTCCAGCCTCTCTCTAGCAGACTAACAAGGACGCCTGGGCCACTGAAGCATGGGTGATGCTCCCTGCAGTGGAAGACAGAGAGGGCTCAGCACATGTCCCGGGGATACACGGAACAGGAGCTGAGTCAGGGTTGAGGGCTTAAGATGGAACACCCTAAGTACCCTAGAGCAGGGAGAGCAAGGTTGGGGTACACAGAACATGGCCTGAATGAAAATGAGAGACGTGACTATCAGTCAGCCACTAATTGGGCAGTCAGAAAAGAGGGGTGCACCTGGGAAGGAAGATCAGTGGAGAGGTAAAGACCATGCCAGAACCCAGCCCCTTATCCCTTATACGCGCACACACACACACACACACATACAAACACACATACACCCACACACAAACACACACATACACACACAAA